AAATGGAATTTGGGAGCTGGGAGAAAGCTTAGCACCCTTTTAAGTCATTTAGGTAAGGTCACAGACCTATTTATTTCTTTTCCAAATGTATGTGTGGAGATACTGATAGGCACCTTCATTTTGTATGTGAAGGGAATTGTGAAAGTTTCACAGGGACAGTTGCATTGGAGAAATATTTTGTGATATGGAATGAAAGGTGCTTATACACATAGGATATTTTGCCTATCATATTGCTGCCACATTATTTATAAAGCATCAATTCTTAGCTTTGCTTTCATGCACTAGTGGATAGATTTCATCAGGGCTGTGGTTTCCTTTGGTACATGAATTATTGTGTCAATTAATCCTGAAAAAAATAAGCCATCATAAATAAGTAAATTGATGTTTGTCCAGTTAAATGGTATAGTTTGAAATCTTAGTTCATTTGCAGAAAAAGGTTATGAGAGAATTGAAGTTGTTGTTTGCCACCTTTGAATAGGTAAATTTGCTCATTACCAAAATTTCTAATTTCTAATGAGGATTGTAGGTTCTCTCTCCCTGTCTCTCAGAATGGTACCTGTGGTTTTCTTTCGATAATGAATGCACCAACGGGACCCAGAGTTAAGTCCAGGCCTCAGAACTAGGAATATTTCCATCAAAGATGGTTTGTTAATAATAAAGTAAGGAGGGAAAAAAGCTATTTGCTTCTTTTGTGGCTTTGACCCCCCCTTGGTCCTGCCAGGCCTGCCTGAGCATCAGCAGAGTTCAGTGGTAATTAAAGCAACAGTGTTGTGAAAAAAGTGTGAATTACTTTTACGGGAAGACTTGGATGTTGCTAGTGAATGACAAAGCACAGCAGGGGGCTCTGCTGGATATTAAAGAGTGATGGCCGTCCCTGTGCTATAAGGTGTCTTTCAGCACAATACAAAATTGTGACTTTTCACAAGTTGATATATCTGGAAGCATTCGAGTTATCAGCTTAAAATTTAGATTTTCTTTTCCTTTGGCAAGGTTGTAGAGCAAAACTATGTCACATTTCGTGAAATGTGGTCTGGTAGTTGGAATGCTGGAGAGCTAAAGTGTATTTTCTTTCTTTTCTTCCCCTGGATTTTTTACTCTAGTATGGAATTATTTCAACCTTGAAGATTGTTGAAAATAGTGAGGAAAAAGCTATAAAGGATCACATGCTCAACCCTCTCTGGGCAAGTTATTTCAATGTCAACTAGGCTTTCAGTTCCTGTCATTTTTAAAGAAGGAAGCAGTAGGGAGCAACACTCTGGTGACGATGCCAAGGAGTGCCAACTTTGCACTCAGTGCTGGGTCAGAATGCACATATGCTTGGTGGGCTTGCCTCACAAGACCCAGCCAGAAGTTTTGATCCTTCCTGCTCTTTATCCCTGCAAATCTCATTAAGTCAACTCCCTCACAGGTATGATATAATGTTGATTCTGTTTCTTATCCAGTGAGAAAAAGTATCGTTATCCAAATCCAATAAACTACCTTGTGCAGATGTGAAGTCAAAGAATAAAATAGCTCAATTGGCTATTAATTGCCTTTCGTTTTATAAGCTAACAGACATGGTCGGTATTCGGAAACCAGGTTCCCAACGTGCATATGGAATTCCTTGCAAAGACAATATGAACAGACCAGAGCAGCCTGCCTCAGTACAAGATGGGTGAAGATGAAAGTGAAAGGCAGAGTGTAATATGGCTGTGATGTGAGTCTGATTGTGATACAGGTCTGCTATAACCAAGGAATAATCTCCCAAGTCATATACATGCTTTGTATTGGTCAGCACTTTCTTTTTAAAGTGAATGAATTGAGATAGTAAGTGCAATTCCTGCTCTTGGTGTATTTTCAGCGTATTTTTCGTGGTATATTTTCAGTAACTGGCCACATCTGACAGCGTGGGGCATCTTTTGGACCAATGACACAGCAGAGCAGAAAGCAATAGACGTGGTGGCCCACAGCTGGGACATCGAGTCTTGATGTCCTCACTGACAGGCTGTGCAAACCTGATTTCCTCATGTGTAAAGGGATGTAAAAGCCTTTTCCACATTACTTTAAAGATTGAGGGAATTAAGATATTAAAATTGTGTAGCAAATGCCTGTTATATAATAAGTAATTGATAAAGGCTGTTACTATTGTTATAGGACAGGGAGAGGGGCAGCCCAAACCCCGCAAACCTGCCTATTTTACATGGGTTCTGCCATCTGCCGCATCAACACAAAACATAGGAGACTTTAATGGGAAGGAACTTTAATAAAACTAGGAAACAATACAGGTAAGGCAAAGAGTCTAGTTTCTAAATGAAGCATCCAGAGTTACCCGCCCCCTCGTGGGTAAAAGTCCATCCAAATGGGATTGGCGCAGAGCAAGGCCCCAAAGCCTGCTACAAGTCTAAAGCATCTTCCAGTGGGGACCCACAGAAAAGGGTTACAAACAACCGGACAAGCCCAGAAGGAAAAGAGCAAAATCAACATCAAGATAAAAGCTGCCATTGTCATCTCCCCACGGGTCTCACCCACATCTGTGTCACCCAGTCCACGACCAAAAGACAAGCACAGTTTCTTCACGTGTCTCTAGGCTCCATGCGCCTCTTCCAGGTCTCCTGGCTCCATCCTGCTTCCTTCCTCAGTCTCTTCTGCAGCTTCTCCTCTTCCTGCTCAGCTCCACCCTCCCTTGGGTGGGGCAGGGAACCTCCCCCTTTCCTGGGGACCACCCTGTTACACTATCCTCATGGTCATCATCATCAGACTCAGTGCCGTTATGAGGGAAGGTGAATCTGGGAATTCCTTTTGCTTCTAGATATACTAATTTTGTTTGATCTGCCAGGCAGCGGGATAATATTTTTAAAGAGGTACAGGTTACAAAACGGCATTTAGGGGATGAGGTTGTGACAGGCCAAACAATATGCTGTTTAAATAGACAACAATGATATAAACAGAATAACTGGGGTACTCCAAATGACATTCTTTCACCCCACTAGTGCAAAGTTTAATTAGTATGTAAATAGCATACTCATTTACAATTGACATAATGCCACCTCTTTTCATGCCAAGCTGTCAGGGCCTATGAAACTGCAAAATTCCTGACATTAAACATTTGTTGTAAACTGATCCTTCCAAAAGTAACTTAACTAAAGCTGAAAAGGCGGGAAAGGTGATAATTGCTTTTTTTTTTTTTAGCCACCCTTTCATTCTTTCCTTTGGAGAAAGGGTCCAAGCTGTTTTGGGGGAGAAATTCACCATATTATATTGGGCTGAGGTTAAATTCTGTAAAAAATGAGAAAAACCACCAACCTCAGAGTGATGAAAAGCAAAATGGGTAAGGAAAAAAAAATACCCTCAATTGACACAGCTATTTTCATCACATCAAATCAGCCATCTGTTCTTGACATAGTTTATTATCATTAGGAAGATTTTCTCAATTCAGACATGGTGATGAGGAAAGATGAAGAATTAACCAGATAAATAGCCAATTTGGAAAATTCAGGCTTAGACCTTTTTCCTCAATTTCCATTCCCTCTTTTCTCCCTGCTCCATCATCATACTCCAATTATTCTACGAAAAGCTTCATTGACATGATTAGACATGTTTATGGTGTTGTTTTTCTCCACTTGCGTAAGCATAACAAACTAAACACATTAGGTATCAAATAACACAAAGGTGATCGACACTGCACAAAAAAATAATAATTTCCCATTGTTAAAAATGACTGCATAAACTTAGAATGAAAGGTGGCTGGTTGTATTTAAGGGTGATGGAATTAAATACTCTAAATTAAAGTACAAAAATTCTGATATTTTCCTCATGGAAATTATTCATTAGAAATCTACCAATTTACCTTGGGATAAGAGTGTTTAGAGAAGAAAATTTTCTTTAAAAACATCATAGATTAATTCCAACAACTCTTGTTACTGGGCAGCCCCGATATAAGACGGATTGCCTGGCTGTGGGGCCCTTACCCGCACGCTTAAAAGAGACTTATTAATATTCTACTGCAGGCACACACAAAAGGTTAATAAAAGGTTTATTTACAAGGGAAGGGGAAATGAGGAAATGTACAACTCAGGGAGAAAAGAGGGAGATAAAGTCTTAAATGTGTCTTACCTGTTCTGCCAACCTGGAACCCCAACTGCATGCTGAGAGCTGGCAGAGAGCCAAGAGCCATGAAGCCAAAAAGCCCCCCCAAGACCCACCTGTCTGGTTTTATACCAAACCTGGCTGCTTAATTCCACCCTCAGGTCCCAGCAACCTTCCCTTCGCTGGTGATGGGATTTGTCTTTCCCAATGTTCTGATGGCTTTGGTCTGGGGTGGGGGTGGAGTCCACAAAGCCTGTATGGAATTAGCTTAGGACATCCTTTTCCCCCTAACACTCTGAGTGGGATAAGTTGGAAGGAATAAGTAAATGTTGAAAACTAATAATAATAAAAAGAAAATATTTAAATTGTATGTTTAATATTGACTTCAGAAAGTGAAGTGATAAACTCACAAAAGTTAAGCTCATAAATTTAGGGAAAAATAGCTAAAAGAAAATGTTTGACAAATAACACAATCTTTAAAATTTAGTCAAGCTGGTTAATTTATCTACATAATGTCAAAAAAACAAGTTTGATTCTCCCTCAAATAATTCACAAAATCATGATACTAGATTTATGAAAATGTAAGCCACAGATTTTGGATTATAATTAAAAACATGTTTTTTTGACTGAAAATTTCAATATGTTAAAGGTAATAACTATTGTTAAAATGCAAACTCCTTTACACAGCTACTTCTGTCCTTATACGAGGTTATGGGTGTGGCTGTAACCTATTTTTTTATAATAGTCTTGTGACCTTTTATTCTTATCTTTTGTACATAGTATCTGACTTGTTACTAATTGCCAATAAAAGGGTATATCTATCAGATTATAATCTCATTCTTCATAATCCATCAGTTATCATTGCTGCTAGAATTCTCTTTGTTGGCATACTCTTTCATGTCATTCAATCTTTTGTTTTTCTAAAAAAATAATAGCAGGGACACAGTCCCCCACTACCACAAATTATGCAATCGAGTTTCCCACATTGGGGGAAATCTCAGGGATCTCAGGGAAATCTCAGGTCTGCAGTGCAATGGATGAGCCTTGCCCTGGGAAAACCACCTTGGTGGTCACAGTATCTCCCCCTCCTGGTAAGTATGTGTGTTAGATTCTTAATTGTCCTCATAATTCTTAGCATGTCCTTGGTTCTCTTGTTACTCCAATGAAGCCAAATGCAGACATAGTCATTCATCAACTCAACCTACAGTAAGCCAGGTTCTGTCCTAAGCCAAGCAGATGTGGTCCTTGCCCTCATGGAACTTTACTTACTAGCCCAGAGTTCAGCAAACTAAAGCCCTGGGGCTAAGTCCAGTCAGTCACCCACTTTTTTAATGGATTTCTATTGGGACATAGCCAGAACAATTCATTTACATGTTCTAAATGACTTCCTTTGCTTTACAATGTTAATAAAGTAGTTGCAACGAGAACTTTAGCCCACAAAGCTTAAAATATTTAGTGTCTGGACACTTGTAGAAAAAGTTGGCTGATGCTGGTAGACTTTAGAACTGTCTTACAGCTCTACATTCTTTCTGTTGGAGGGTATATTTTTGGACTCTTATGGTTTCAATTACTTCTATAGAAATGACTCTGTAACTTCTATCCCCAGTCATGATCTCTCTTTTGAACTTCAGTCACATATTTCTAAAAGCCTGCTTAGAATCCCTATCTACCCAAATAGCAAATAAACCACCTTTATTGAAAGACAGCTAAGACTGACTGCACTATTTTTCCCAAGCCAATGTTTTACTACTATCAAACTCTCAATAATTAGGACTTGAAAAATCTGGATTCTCTCATTTTCTTACAACATCCAATAGCAAAATAAAATACAAATGTATGTATTATTTACATCTGACAGCTAATTTTTGTTTCTATTGCTGCCATCTAGGCTGGACACAAAATCTTATATTTAGAATATTGGTCTTTCAGTCAATTTTCTTAATATATCACTTTATGTGTGTTATCACAATTCTCAGGAGCTACCAGTTACCAAGAGTATGGGTACTCAATCTGTGGCTGAGGCTCTCCTTCACTGACAAACTATTAGATGACTCAGGGGATCAATGCATCCCATCGAACATGCGAAGACTTTTCTGAAAATTTAGTATCCAAGTAGATGCACCACGGTCTATTTCTCAAGCTTGCATATTCTTCCAACTAAAATACATATTTGCTTATTAAGGATACTAATTTCATCTTTTTCTCTTCCACTCCCTTCTCATGTAATTGATTCTAAAGCTGTAACTACATTTTTTCCGTATTTATGACAAAGGGTTCCCCAATGGCAATTAAATACTATTCTAAACTCAGGGAAGGTCTCCTATAGATTCACAATAGAACTATGTGGGTTCAGGACCTCAACTTTTTTTTCAATTCCTTCATTCCTTCCCTTCCCTGCCTTTATTTTATATCTGTGATGTACCACTTACTGGGAACATCAAGTAATTGTTATGTTTTTCATAACTTCAAAATTATTATTTAAAATGTGTATGTATGGTGGGGGTAAAACTACACTGAAGATTACCCAGTCTTTTCCATTCTTGGTTTCTCTGTATTTTGTGTCCTCTTACCCTCAACTTTTGGAGATGAATATAAAAAGATAAAATAGGTGAACTTATGTAAATGCATCTCTCTACTTTCCTCTCCTTTCTTTCCTTAGATGATAACAATGGCTTGGAAGATTTAGTAGGAACAGAGGGACCTTAGGAGAAGGGAAAGTTGAGAAGCCCTAATTCAATTTTAGACTGCCAGGGAAAGGAAAAGGGGCTATGTGATACAGAGAGTGAACAGATCAGGATTCTAGATGAAAGCTTTCATAAATTTTGTGCATTTGGCAGTTTTGTCCTCTTAGTCACACTTCTTAGAAAGCTTTAAAGGGTGGTTGAAAAGTAGACATGAGTAACGAGGCCAAAGCCGGGGTGGAGAACATAAGCACTGAGTCCATATACTTAATCTAGCAGTATCAATTGCTTGCAGCTTATTTCTTTGCCTAGTTAGAATTTTGTCTACCACTCTTTCCTTATTGGTCATCCAATAGGTGGTGGAGTATTGCTCGCTATATCTCTGGCATCTAGGGCAGTGTTTAACCAGCAAGCCAGGAGAAGCACAAAATTATTTTTGTTGTCAAAATCCACTCAACTTTATGTTCATGTGTTGATTTATTTGTTGTGATGAAAACTCAGGTTAATATATGGAAAACTCAAAAAATTTCCTGATATCACAGAACCTAGAGAGGAGGAATGGGAAAGTGAGACAAGATTTAGAACAGAATTATCATCTAATAGAAGTGAAACTAACTTTGAGTTAATTAATTTATCAGAAATTCAGTCTTCTCTGCGGTAACCTGGAATAATAAGTGCTACCTCTTATTGGTTATACTGACTGAGGGAGGCAAAATATATAAAGGTCTAGTGAGGTAGCCAACACATAGTTGACACCCAATGGGTGTTTCTAAAAAAGGAATGAAGAGAAGAGGCTTTGGGACTAATGCAAAACCCAGTAAAATATTCCAAAAGGTTTGGTGTAGTTTGAATAATATTTAGTCTGGATTATATTTCAAGAATATATTTCAAGAGTAGAGCAGGCTACTCTTACGTAGTCAAAGAAAACGTGTGATTTCTAAGTGATTTTTTTTAAAGATTTATTAATTAATTTATTTATTTATACAAGCTCTAGGCACAGTCAGAAGTTCGGGAAGGTGAGAGAATTCACCAGAGCCAGAGCGGGGAGCAAAGCAGGCAGAAGAACCGAAGTACACTGCTGAGGGGAGCAGCGGGCGGCAGGAGAGGTCTGCGCGCAATGTGGGACCCTCCTCCGGTGGCTGGGGAGCAGCCGGGATCGAACCGGCGCTGCAGAGGCTTCGGGCAGCTTCACAACCCAGCGCTCAACCGCTGCGCCACCGGGGAGGCCCTGGATTTTTAAGTGATTAACAAGAAGTAAAGTAAAATTTGTTGAATTTCTGTTGCATACCATCCAGTTTACCAGGCTTTGTAGGTACACTTTATTTCACATTCATATCTCTGATATAAATTCTATTATTTCTCGTGCTTATGACCTTAAGAAAAATATGGCCAGAGAAAGTTCAGTAAATAGCTTGTATTCATACAGCTAGTACGCTTCAGAGGGAGGACTTACAACCAAGTGTAGATGATTGAAAGTGTATATCCTCTTTCTAAATCACCAAGCCATCTCTCCTAAAGACTTTCTATGAAATCACCCATCAATTTTCATGAAGACCACTGCTCAACTAGTTTATATAGCATTATTCCTTTCTATATCCCAATAGATTCTTTCATTTCATTAATAAAAATGGCAGCAAAGGTTTACAAAACTCAAGTCTATATATTTGAAATGATCATTCTTGAAATGCCTCGGGGAAAAATAAAGGCATGCTCTAGAAAAGGTGTAGCCTTCCTGACACATTAGTGGTCACTGAACTATCTAGCGAGAGCACAACTTTGCTCATGATGGGAGTCCTGGGGCTTTGTTGGCTTAGTGTCTGTCTGAAAGGTAGCTTTGATTTCTGGGAAGCAAAATTTCCTTCCCTGACTGTTGCAGTAGGGAGTTGGTAGAAACTGCAGTCAGAACTTGAAGGGGGCAGCTCTCAAAATTTGGCTCATATATAAGTAAATAGTAAGTAAAATAAGGATAAAGTGATGACATTCTTCAAGAAATAACTTTAGGACCTTCCTTGAAAATGATCATTTCTGTTTTCCTATAACTGTAAAATTGAGTTTCAGGTAATAGCTTTCCTTTTATATGGCAAATGATAAATGATCATTTAAACATTTTCTCATCCACCAACCAAGATATAACAAAACACAAAAACTGACTGTGACTAAAAGAGAATTTGTGGCTGAAGTCACCTGATTTTTCAAGTTGGTGATTACACCATGGGATATTCATTTGTCTTTAATTGCATAAAATATATTTTGCCAGCCAAGATAATCAAGTCCTTAGTTCCTATACACTGCATTTTTTCCTCGCCCTGTATGTAAGTTTTTCATACAAATTTAGTATATATTTTCTTAGACTTTGGATGCTGTGATATCAAGTCAAACTACCCATTAAGCTATGCAAGAAAAGTAGGAATATCTTTCTTTGGCTATTTTTTTTCTAAGATAATGTATAGAAATTTGTAAGGGTCAGACCTGCCATAGTTTGGGTAGAAAATCACAGTCCATACAGAACTTAATCAGAATAATCAAACCAAAAGAAAAAGAGATACAAGTTCAGAAAGGGAAAACATATTTGTAGGCACTTATTATTTTTCAGTCTTCACAAAATAATATAAAAATAAGCAGATTCAGGCCTCCCCGGTGGTGCAGCAGTTGAGCGCTGGGTTGCGAAGCTGCCCGCAGCCTCTGCAGTGCCGGTTCCATCCCCGGCTGCTCCCCGGCCACCGGAGGAGGGTCCCACATGGCGCGCAGACCTCTCCTGCCGTCCAGCTGCTCCCATCGGCAGTGTACTTCGGTCCTTCTGCCTGCTCTGCTCCCTGCTCTGGCTCTGGTGAATTCTCTCACCCTCCCAGGCTTCTGACTGTGCCCAGTGCTTGTATAAATAAATAAATAAATAAATAAATCTTTAAAAAAAAAAAAACAAAAAAACTTTCCTATACAATCAACTGATAATAAAGTAAATGCAAAAAGTTGATTTAAGTTCAACATCATGGATAAATTTGTCTTAAATTTAAATAACAAAGAAATAGCAGAAATATTAAAACTACCTTCTTCCCCCTCCCCCCACCACCCCATAATGAATAAGATTAAGTTGCCTCCTAAAAAGAACTGGGACCTCACCTGGGAAGAAAAATTTCAGCATTTTAACTCCTTGGGCAAGGATTCAAAAGAAATTATTCCAAGAAGCGAAGTTAATTTATGTCAGTTGACTAGAAAATAATATTAACTTAATACATTGTGTTTTTTTTTTTTTTTTTTTTTTTTTTTTATAGAGGCATGCTTTATTTATTTGTTTTGCTGGTTTCTTTGTTTGTTTTGTTTATACATGCACTGGGTACAGTCAGAAGCGCGGGAGGGTGAGAGAATTCACCAGAGCCAGAGCGGGGAGCAGAGCAGGCAGAAGGACCGAAGTACACTGCTG